GTTTAGACTTTTGCGTTTTTGCACTATGGGCCTTGTGTTCGTAAACGGTGCCTGCCTCGCTGTCATGTCAGAGGTCGGCCCCTCATAAATTCCTTACCAGACGCGTTGTAGTTGGATTTTTTATCGGCTGCGCTCTGTTCGCTGTGACCCCCCTTTATAGTGTTTCATTTTCAGAGTTGATTAGGCCATATTACTGTTCTCAGCCAATCTTAGCCGTCCTGGTCGGTGTTGGCCGTGTTCAAAGTCCGAGCGTAGAGACGTTGGGATCTTATTTGCCCGATAAGAGGCTTTGACCCTTCATACCGGGAGGCGCTGTCTACCGCCATTCACTTGGTTCACGCGATCTCCTCCCCGGCTCTCATTTCATGCATTGCTTCGGTAGAGGTTACCCCCACAGGTGTCCGCTAGGCGCGTGCAGGTTTACTGACTAGCAGAGGGCGCCTAGACCAGCCAAATGAATTTTGTGGATGAATGTTCGTCGCGCAAGCTAGCGGTTGCGGGCCTGAATCCTGAGGCCTGTACTATTTCTGTCTTGCGGCTGCCCATCGTACGTTGCGCTTATCTGTCGCTTTGTTGCCTGTGATAAGTGATGCAGCCCACTGAGGACAAGCCGGAATCCTGTCTAAGATGTGGGATCGACCCGCTACCTTTTGGCTAGTTCTACGTTCCCAGTTGTCATCCGGGCTTTACGGTTTCCTCTCTCGCCTGGGTTGCTCCGGTTCGAGTTGGCTGGTCAGGTTATGGTGGCACAAGGCCCGAGCCCAGGTTGCCTCGCTGGATCCCGCACTCGATCCCCTCGTCGACTCAGCCACACCTGTCTACCAGATGGTGCTCAGGGGACGCGGGTCTAGTTCGTGACTCTACTAATTGACCAGAAAGACCGCGCACTAAGTTCCCTTTGTCACTGAGTCTCTCGATGGGCGTGTTGCGACGTTGGCTCTGCTGACAGGGTTGTGATACTGGCGGACGTAGAAGGTTCTCGGCAGGCTGTGGTCCAGGCGCGTGTGCAAGTGACTAAAGTTGGTCCAGAAAGAAGCTCGAATCGGGGATGGCCACTTTCTGTCGGTGGTGGCTGCCCTGTCTCGGTCGACGGTGGAAGTCGTGGGCCCGAATGTAGATTCTGCTACTTCGGCTTGCATTTTCCAGTCGGTCAAGGCGATTCCAGGGGGTCAGACGCGAGACTGCCGTAAAATACAGAATAAGCTGGAAATCAGGGGGGCTGGTTTGTGACCACGAGAGGCCTCCGTCAAGGCGGCCAATTCCGTACAGGGATCCGACTCGGTCCTCGTTTTCAGGAAATGTCAATTTTGTGGGTGTCGACTCAATGGCAGTTGCTCCACTTATCCCAATCATCATGCATCCGACGGATTGCTATATAGCCGGTTGGGGGCAGTTGTCGGCTGCACTCGCTCGCCGATTGAAGTGGCTCGACCACGTGCTCCACCGACTAAGGCAAAAATTTCCGAGTAGGAGCTCCCATCATAATGAGAACTCATGTAACGGAAAAAGTCCTAATGTATTGCTAACGTGAATTATAGAATTATGGGTGTTTGCTTAGAGAACTTGGGGACTGGTGCACTGACCCTTATTTCTTACTACGGCGGATGACTGGATAGTTCCCGCGAACTAGGTCAGTCTAGTCCTGGTTCCATCGGTACAGCCTACCATATTGATCTCGAGGATCGTGGACGATCAAGTGGCTTTCGGGACTGACGGCCGGTGCTCCGATCTACTGTTGCTACCCCCGCGGATCCAACAGGTCTTTCGTTTCATCCTAAGCATCACCAAAGGCTTGTAGCTTGAAATTTGGGAGGTGCACGAAGGACTGTTTAAATATATTCTTGAGATCTGAGATACGTCTTCTTTGCTTTTGGCGTTGCCAATGCTGACATTCTCTTTATTCATCGATATTTTGGCAGATTTTGAGTAATTCATATTGACCCAACTGTGAAATACTCGGTGGGATTCGAACCCGCGCAGTAAGGGGAAGGCCTAAGTACAGCCAACGCTCTAACCACGTGAGCTACGAGGCCCCGCCGGACGACGCGAGTTTTAATCACATTTGGGTTAAGTTACCCGCCCAACCTACTACAACGTCTGGAATCCACCAAATCTGATACAGTAAGTTGACTTCCCAAGCAGGATTTCCTAAGTAATTCACCTTGAATCCACCAGATGACTACTATGCTCGTAGCTCAGGTGGTTAGGGCGTTGACTGTACTAAAGCCTTCCCCTTACTGCGTGGGTTCGAATCCCACCGAGGCATTGAGTTTTTCACAGTTGGGTCAATATGAATTCCCCTTATTGTTAAGTTTCGGTATTAGGAGTGACTTGATATACGCACTGTCGAGCTTACAGTGCTGGGCTGGCCTACGATCCACCTGCGATTGGTAACGATTGATTATTCGTACTTGCGTACCGGTGCTGATTGGGCGCGGACGGCAAAAACTGCAGCTTCCTTCGCTGAGGTGTCCTGTCGGTGTCAGACATGAAGATGATTATCTAGCAACGTCTTGACAGAATGGAACTATTTTCCTGGGCAACCACAGTGATTGGGATGCTTAAAATCGTCCATGCGTATCTGGATTAGCTGCATGCACACAATCAGATTCAGTCTAATGAAATCCACGAGGAAGCTGGAACTGCGTGCGACACTGGACGAACCTTCCAGACGTCCTTGAGCGTCGTAAAAGTCGGGAAGACTGCTCCGGGGCCGCAGTTCGGTTTCGAAACTAACATCGCACGCTCTTGACCGCTTTTGCGCGGTGGAGAGGCCTTCCTTTTCGGAGGACAATTAGCAGAGCTTGGT